CCACTAAGCAGACAGCTTTTAGGGTACCCTTGTTTCTCTCAGGACACTCAGCCCTAGAAAGTGAGCTTTGCTCCAGGCACCAGAATAGCAGCCTGCCACACTCAGTTCCTGTTCCGTTTGAGCCTTTAAACTGCGGAGCCAAGAAGTCTTATTAGACAAGCCAGGCATTAAATCAAATGAAAACTCACGTGGCTCTGAAATTGCCAGCCCCCACAGGATGGTCCCTGCTTGCAGTGGACACTGGTTAGGATTGACACAGAAGCCCTGACACTAGGACTCTCCAGAAAGCTGCCCAAGGTCAGTGTCACGGGGTGCAGGCGAGTGGAAGTAGAAGCCACAGGAGATTGGTCTTTGAGTTTCTTCGCTCTGGTGGCCTGGAAGAGGGAATCGGGGGCTATTGTTCAATGGACGCAGATTTTCAGTTCTGCAGGGCTTACAGGTATCTTGAAGACTCACAGAAGAGGTAGCTGCACAGTAGTGTTGATGCCAAGGTTCTGTGCCCTTCCTGTTACTCTACGACAACTTAGCAATTAGATAAATGAAGTGTCCTGCTGTCCATCCTGGTGGGCACGGGATCTGGCCACACTGTTCTTCAGGACTGCCACCGACTGTTCTCCTCCTGTGGTCTCACTGGTCCAGGGTCCCACCTCTCTGTCCCTGCTCCCCACATCCCTGCCTCTGCCTTCTTCCTGGTGAGATCAGAGTTTTCCTCCATGACCTCTCTTGGCAGTGGGGATGTCTCCAGTCAGGTTTGTCCAGAGGAAGTAAAAGTGTCAGCAGGGCTGTCTGGCGAGAGCCCCAGCCCCCTCTGAGATGGTAAAGGTAGTTCTGTTTCCTTGGTTTGTCCTTCTAGTCACGGTCCCTATCTAGGCCAAGATGGGTGTCCGTCCCAGGTGCTGGTGAGCCCTGGTCTCTAAGGCTCCATCATCCACAGGCCTTGCCCTGGTTCCCTTCCCATGACCTTGACCATCAGTTTTACTGTGTTACGTGACAGCTGCTACAATTTCAAGGTCAGGCAGGCTGTGGTGAGCGTCAGGTACTGCAGCCTCCTGGGAAAAGACTCAGTTATACTTGGGTTCAAATCTTGCTCAGTCACCAGGAATGTGGCTGAGGCAAGTTATTCAAGTTTCCTCTTCCTCAGTTTAAAACAATGTTTTTGTTTTGTTATTTTTCCTTTAAGATTTAGATTTATTTTACTTTACATGTGCGAGTTTTTTGCCTGCATGTGCATATGTGACCAGCCCACAGAGGCCAGAAGAGGGCGCCAGATCACCTGGAACTGGAGTTACAGATGCTGTGAGCTACTGGGAATCAAACCTGGGTCCTCTGCCAGAGCAGCAAAAGATCTAAGTGGCTGGCTTCTTTCCAGGCCTCTCCTCAGGTTTCCTGTCTCCAAAATGAAGGTCATGGAACCTTTCTTGTTGCTATAGGATTAAGGCTGATGCACTCCTTGCAGTAGGTGGCAGATGTGGGGATGGTCTTGAGTGGGTTACTCGATTTTCCTTTGTCTCCCATGAGCAGAATAATAGTAACCGCACTACCGGATGGTTGCTGGATCACACACTTGTAGGTAATTCAGAAGACTGCTGAGCCCCACTGTCTGTATGCTCCCAGTGTTCAGTTGGTTATCACAAAATGTGAGAATATAATTTTTTTTTGTAGAATCCATAATGGTTAAAATAGCCAATAGTCAAACTTGAAAATTTTCTCAAGTATTTTTAAAGTTTAAAACTGACTTAAAGATAAACACTTTACTTAGACACAAATTTCACCTGCAGAATGAAAACAAACAAAAAGCACACATGGGTCTTGTGCAGCCAGCACTAGACCAAAGCATCATAGCATCCCATGCTGTGAAAACTACTGACAGTGTTCTGGATTTTGGGTTAAGGTGTGAAGTTTGTTCTAGCGTCTCTCTCTCCATGTAGAACAGCACTTACACAGTTGGGCAGTGCATTGTTTGGGATACAGGCATGGAATTTAGAGAAAGGCAGGAGGCAGGTGGGGAGAGGGAAAAGCCAGGTGAAGGCAAAGCAGCAGAGTTAGCGTCCCCTCAGGCCTAGGCTTTTACACTAGAGTCGTCGTCAGGCACAGTTTAAGTCCAAGGAACAAGGCAGTAGCGGCAAGAACGAGGCCTGAGAAGTCAAAAGCATTTACTCAGCAGAGGATCAGCACGTGGGGAGATGGTGAACAAGATGATGCTCCCAGAGCTGAGAGAGACAACTGGGAACCCTCTGGCATTTTGGGAACTCAGAGAGGCAATGGCACCTGATGTGTGAGGGAGCGATATCAGCCAAACTCCTGCAGGGAGTGGAGAGAAATGAAGGAAGAGGGCTGTAATGTGGAGTTGTTTTTTCTCTTCACTCTTTGGGGGGCCCGCCACCCAGCTCCCAAGTAAACACACAGTCTTATTTTTTCTTATGAATACCCGGCCTTAGCTTGGCTTATTCCTAGCCAGCTTTCCTTAAATTATTCTATCTACCCTTTGCCTCTGGGCTTTTATCTTTCTCTATTCTGTATACCTTTCTTTACTTATCTGTGGCTTGCTGTGTAGCTGGGTGGCTGACCCCTGATGTCCTCATGTCCTCCTCTCTATCTTCTCAGATTGCTCCTTCTATTTATTCTCTCTGTCTGCCAGCCCTGCCTATCCTCTCTCCTGCCTCGCTATTGGCTGCTCAGCTCCTTATTAGACCACCAGGCAAAGCAACACAGCTTCACAGAGTTAAGCAAATGCAACAAAAAGGAAGAATGTAACACATCTTTGCATCATTAAACAAATGTTCCACAGCGTAAACAAACATAACACATCTTACAACTAAGAGTCTACAACATTTCCTCCTTTTTGTATAAATAAAAAGGAGATGTTTTAACTTTAACATAGTGAAACTATATACAACAAAAGCAAATATCAAGAATCACATTTACAATACTCAGTCCATCTGTATTTAGCAAATTTAGAGAAAGTACTGTTATCTTAGTGATTCTAAAGTTTTATGCCTAATTAAGGAAAATTATAACTCTATTTAGTCTTTAACTCCATCAAAGACCCCAGAAGGATGTAACATTATCTAACAACAGAGACATCTGGCTGCCTGGACAGTTGCCCAAAGTTCCTCTGCAATGTTGGGTATTCATCTTCAGTGTACAGGCTGACAGAATCTGCAGAAGACAGACAGGCAAACAGACAGACAGACAGACACAGACACACACACAGCAGACACAGAAACATGTAGCATGAAAAATGACCCAGAGACTGACATTGGGGTTCAAGCTTTAAGCTGAAGATCAGAAAAGCAAAGCAGCCGGCCACTAGCTCTCATCCCCAGCTCAGACTGAAAGGTGATCCTAGCTCTCCCAAACCTCAGACTGTTGCCTCTCCTCTCCTCAGTGTAGCCGGGAATCCTGAGACTTCAATGTCTTCCTCTCTTCAGTGTTCCTGGAGAATAAACTCCAGCTTTGAGACCCTGTTCCTGTCTTAAATACCTCCCATGAGTCCTTGGATAAAGGCGTGTGAGCCCAGGTGCTGAGGTCATCTTTGTGTGAGCTGTTTCTCTTTAGGACTTGATTTCTTGTAGCTCAGTGTGGCCTTGAACTAACAGAGATCTGTGTACCTCTACCTCCCAAGTGGTGGGATTAAAGGTGTGTACCAACACCTTGCTTTCTGAATCCTCAGGCAAGCTCTAACAAATGGTAAATTTGTGTGTATTACCACTCACAACAGATACACACGGCAGACACACACACACACACACACACAGATGACAAACACACATACTAATAAAAGAGAGGTACCCATAAAGAAGAGAGTGAAAGTTTAAAACAAACAAGCTGGGCAGTGGTGGCGCACACCTTTAATCTCAGCGCTCACTTGGGAGGCAGAAGCAGGCAGACCTCTGTGAGTTCCTGGACTACAAAGTGAGTTCCAGTATAGCCATGGCTACACAGAGAAACCCTGTCTCGAGAAACGAAGCAAAACAAAACAAATACCGCACAGGATATCTGTAGGATGAATTAGGCAATAAGTATTTATAATATTTTAGAAGGAACCTCAATTTCAAGTAGAGAATATTCAACAAGTCAAGAAAAAACAAAATGAGATGTACATATATGTGCGCATAGAAAGATGTTAGTAGTAAAAGATAGTTTTTTTTTATTTCCCTGGGGGGGGGGGAGAAGGACTAGGAAGAAATAAGCTGGTGTTTCATGTCCCTGATTTCCCCCTATGTGGATATTGGTTTTGCTAATGTGTTTATTAACTTCTGAAGACATCTTAATGAGCATGTATTTAATAACCAGATAGCACAGTGAGGTTTCTCACTCTACCCAAAGACACATAAGTACACTCTTCAGAACAAGAATTTATTTCACAGCAGTGACACTTCGCAGCTCATGACTGGCTTTCACTTGATGGTCTTTTGAGTTACACATAATTTAAAAAGGCAGGGAAAAAAAAACAGAGAAACAAACAACCCAAGTAAAGTTATCAGCTTAAACTAGCTGATATTCATTACATACCATTTTTTAAAAAAGCCCTCTGTAAATTCAACATTGGTTTCATAAAAGCATTAGAAAAAAAAAACAGTAGTTACCTTTTCAAAATTAAGTTAGTCTGAACTAAGTTCACTTCTGTGGCAGAAATGCAAGACATGGCCCAGTGTTAAAAAGAAAATGTGGGCTTTGAACAAAGCCGGGCAGTGGTGGTGCACACCTTTATTCTGGCACTCACCTGGGAGGCAGAGGCAGGCGGATCTCTGAGTTCAAGGCCAGCCTGGACTACAGAGTGAGTGTTTGTGTAGCCATCGCTACACAGAGAAACTCTGTCTTGAAACCCAACCCCCCCATAAAAAAATTAAAAGGCTCCGACTAGAGTTCCAGATTCACAGCTGGCAGCATAGAAAACAGCTTTGTTATTGTTTTGGTTCACAATGCTGAAGCCTTCTCCATCAAGGCTATGCAGTACACCCTCCTGGCCCTGGGGGTGGAGGTTGGCCTCCAGACCCTCACATATTTGTCTGCTTGACAGGTTCCAAGGTGGCATACGGATTGTCCTTTTCTAAGTTCTTTTTCTTCTCGTCCTCATCAAACTGTGCTTCAACCTCTGCTGGGTTGACATAGGTGTAGAATCGAGCCATGATGGCGAATATCACACAGACCACCAGAAGCAACGAGGCGAACAGAATGTACTCAGCCCACTTGGGAGGGTCGGAGTTGGAGCAAGAAAACAAACAAAAGAACCACAGGTCACATTGGCATAATATTGCACGCATGTCTTCTTGCTACTTCTAGGCAGACGGCACTCTGGAGTGGGGAATGTGGGGCACCCAATAGAGACACACACTGGCTCTTCTCAAACGTCCAAGGAACAGGTGACATTCTCTTACTAATATGGGGTGTGGAAACACAAGGCTTTTGGGAAAATGAGGGAAATTTTCTGATTTTTTTTTTTTTTTTTAGGCAGAGTTTCTTGGTGTGGTTCTGGCTGTCCTGGCTCTCACTCTGAAGACCAGGCTGGCCTGAAACTCAGAGAGATCTGCCTGCCTCTGTCTCCCAAGTGCTGGAAGGCATGCATCACCACCGCCCAGTGCATTTCTAAAATTCTTAAGGTTTATGGCTGGTGCTAGAAGGATGAGAAACTGCAAAGCCCAAGCAGTAACCTTGCAGGACAGAGTGCTGAACATGGGCAGGAGAGATGGTGTCGAGCTTCTGAGCGTCTGCCAGAGGCATCTGGTTGGGTTCTCAGAACACCCACAAACCCCAAAACTCCAGCCCAGGGGACCCAGTGCTCTTCTGGCTTCCATGGGCAGCTGCAGGTACAGGGTACACATACATACACTCACATATATGCATATATATACACATACGCACACACATGTATATACACACATACTTAGTTACACATATGTATATACATATACGTAATTATAATACATATGCATACACACATATACATACTCATACATATATATCTCTTGACAGTACCTGAGCTTGGGAGCATGAAGCCCTCAGGCCATTCCTGACACAGGAAACAACCTAACTGCTGTAGTGAGAGGAAGCTATCAAGTTGTCCTTGTGTGCAACAAGGCTGAGCAAAAACTGTGAGCATTAGACAAGCTAGGGTTTTGTTTTACTTTAAACGGAAAGCTACAGCCATTTAAAGAATGTCTTTAAGCTGTTGTGAAGTTTCTGCACAAGGAATCTGGTTTTCTTTTCTTTTTCCTCCTTCCCATGCTGGTACTAGAACCCAGAGCCTTGTGCATGAATGGCAAGGGCTCTACTGTGGAGCCATACCCCTGCCCACATGTCTAGTTTGGGGCTCTTGAGCTGAACTCACAGAATGGATGGATGACAGATGTTTCCTTTGACAGTAGACCCCATTGGGTGTAGGAACTTTAACTCGGTGTGGTTAGTCTGGTGTTGGTTTCCAAGCAATAAGAGCCAGGAGAGACTCTGCCCTGCACCACTGTGGCAGTTCCAGCTGGTGGGTAGCCATTGACTCAAATGGATACATACTTATAGGTAGCTAGGGAGGGTCATGGTGATTACCATTAATAACCAGGAAGGTTAGACATTCAAACTCATTCTTAGCTACAATGTAGGGTTGAAGCTACATAAGACCCTGTCTCAAAAAAGTACAGGAAAAAAAATAGGCGTATCCGACCTCCTTTCCCCTCCTACCTGTTTCTCAAAGTGGCCCGCCCCTGCCACAATGAGAACGATAATGTTGCCAACGGCCACTGTCAAAAGCCAGCCTGCCTGAAGCACCGACTTCATGTTAGACGGAGCCTGTGGAAGCAAAGCAGAATGGGTCACAACGAGATTCCCGCTTCAGCCAGGAGAGCACCACCCACCGCTCAATGCACCAAGCACCGTGGACGTGCAGATCAGAGGTCGGGTTTAGTCAGGTGTGGTATCTTACACCTATAATCCCAGCGTTTGGGAGGCTGAGCACAGAGACCTCAAGTTTGAGGACACGCTTGGCCGCAACACAACCCTGCTCTAAATATAAACAAGTACATAGGCAAATAAAAAACAAAAATGTCAGGTCATGTACAATATAAGGAGGGCATCACTTTTGTGAGGAGACCTACAAACCCTCCTGATGCAGACTTACACTTACGAGTGTTGCCTTAGTAACCGTTGCAGATCTACAGGCAGATGGACTTTGCTCACAAGCTTCTAGGCAAAGCCATCTGGGGCATGTTCTCCCCAAAGCTCTGGGCTGCAAACTTACCCTTCTGTAGCTTTCCTGCCATGTCCTTCCTCAAGCTCTGACCACCTATGTCACAGCCATGGTGTTTGTCAGACAGTGTGGTCACCACAGACAGCGGTGACCCACCCATGCTGACCATCACAGATACTGAAGGAAAATATGCCAAGGTGCACTGGCTTTAACTGTGGCTCTGCCAAATGCTTAGACATCAAGCTCTAATTGGGGTCCCAATAAAATTTGTCTAATTAGCTGTGGTGGTTTGAAAGAAATTGACCCCTATAAGCTCATAGGGAGTGACACTACTAGGAGGTGTGGCCTTGTTGGAGGAAGTGTGTCACTGTGGGGTTAGGCTTTGAGGTCTCTTTTGCTCAAGCTATGCTCAATGTGACTCAGTTCACTTCCTGTTGCCTTTGGATCAAGATGTGGAACTCTCAGCTCCTTCCCCAGCACCATGTCTGCCTGTGAGCTGCCATTCTCCCAGCTGCATGCTCCCTGCTGTGATGATAATGGGCTGAACCTCTGAAACTGAAAACCACCACCTCAACTAAATGTTTTCTTTATAAGAGCTTCGTGGCCATGGTGTCTCTCTACAACAATAGAAACCCTAACTGCTGACCTCAGACTTAGTGTGTTGCAAGGATTGTCTTGAACTTCTGACCTTCCTTGCCTGTGCTTCCCCAGGGAAGGACTAGAGGAGTGCACCACCACACCTGTTTTCAGACAGTGCTGGACATTGAAACCATGGCTGCATGCATGCTAGACAAGCATCTGATCAAATGAGAGTAAAGGTGTTATACTTGTTCTTAGCAGTAGATCTGATTTGGTGTAATCACCGGGAATGACAGAGAGATGTCAACTGGACCTTGAATGCAACCAGAACACAGACCTATAGACAAGTACTTCTGTGCACAGCTTGTGCCTTTTGGATATTATATATGGCTCCTAAAACCTGACAGGACAGCATTGCCACGGAGTAAAGATCTTGTTGACCTTATAGTCCTTGCTCTGTGCCAGACACCTGCGGTTGTCTGAATGAGAAACACCCCATGTAATATCGGGCATTTATACGTGGCCTGAGTGGCTGCTCAGGGGAGGTATGGCCTTGCTGGAGGTGGGCTTTGAGCGTTTAAAACCTCATACCTCTCTCACTGCTTTGTGCTTGCAATTCAAGATGTGAGCTCTCAGCTTCCTGCCTTGGCTACTGTGCACCTGCCTAGTGCTACCATGATTTACACTGATCACAACCACAGCCCTGTAAACCCTTCTTTCTGTAAGTTGCTGTTAGTCCTGGTATCTCATCACAGCAAGAAAGAGTCACTAACATAACACAACAGTTTCACAGAAAGAACAGACAGAGCACCATAATGATACATTATGCTATAAACAAGCCATAAGTGGTGGTGTGTGTCTACTACTCCAGTGCTTGAAAGCCAGAGGCCGGAGGATAGCCTGGGCTTCATACTAAGACCTGTCTTAACACAACCAGCAAGACAGAAGAGACTCTAAGCGTATGGGCATCCCTGATTCAAACCAAGTTCCCTCAGCACTTTTCTGAGGACTACAGGGAGCAGATGGGAGGAAGAAACAAGAGACCTGGGAATATGAGAACTCCAGTCCCGTGACAGAGAAGACCACTTCGCCACAGGTGAGAAGGAAATACTGTGGAATCTGCAGCGCCATGTTCACCGTGTTGGGTGGGATGTCTTCAAATTCCTTCACTTCCAGGCAGCCATTACTCTAGACCATCAAAGCAACAGGCAGGAGGTTGAGAAGGAGGCAGAGATACCTTTTAGAATAACAACTGCTCATACAGACAGACTGAGTTGACGTTCTAAGGCTAAATCAGGCAACTTACAAAGTCAGTGCCCATTTTAAATGTAGCTGTGCAATGTTGGAAGCCTGTTAGTTAAAACCCTGCACCCTTTAAACATTAAATCCTAACGTCAACAGTCTGTAAGGAAGCATCAAACACTGCTCAACAGCAATGTTTAACTAGCGTGTGGCTGAGTCTCCTGGGTTTTATTCTACAGTCAATATAAGTCAACAATAAGTTAGAGAGAATGAATCCGTGATGGGCCAGTGAGATGGCTCAGTGGGGAAAGGGGCTTGCCGTCAACCCTAACAACCTGAGTTTGAACTCTGTGACCCACACGGTGGAAAGAGAGGATGGACTCCTATAGGTTTTACCTAATTACACACACACACACACACACACACACACACACACACACGTGCGTGCATGTGCTCTTGCACAATTAAGAAAAAGAAAAAGGAATTAGTGGTGAGGTGAATTAGTTCTAAGCCCATTTGGAAAGCCTAGCCCCTCTAGTTAATCATGAGCATATCCTAAGTGTCTGTGAGGACTCATGCCAGCCGAGGTCAAATGGGCTGTCTGCTGGGGTGGAATGAGCTACTGACCATCCTTCTGATCACGTAGGTGTACGCACTGCCAAAGTCGAGGTTGGAAGATTTAAAGTCACGTGGACAGTTTGGCCCGATCTCTGTGCCATTTATTGTGAAGTCCTTTCTATTAAAAGAAAGAACAACAGTGGTTACAGCTCTTGGGTATTAAAATCTCCATTTTTTTTAAATAAAAATACCAGACAATCTTGAATTTAGGAGTGAGTTGCCCAGAAAAGGTACTTACACGCCAGAAGGAAAAAACTGATAACTGCTGGCATTGTTAGTGGGGATGTTTTCAAACACTTTCCCACTCATCGTGATGCTAAGCATCTCATTGAGGGTGTTGACAAATCTGGAAAAGAAAACCGTCTGTCTTGTAACCAAGCCATGGAATAATGTGTCCTCCATCACAGGTCGGGCACCAATGTTAGGTCATATCCCTTGTGAAGGAATTTAAGATGCATACAGAAAATTCCTGGGGTCTAGAGGCAGGCAGTTAGCTATCTTACGGTTGTTCCTGTCCACCCATTCATGAGAACACCCTCAAAAGAATTCACCTAACTGTGTGTACACCGGGAACTGTTTAGCTTACTGACATTGAGGGGCATTAGTTAACGAGGCATGGAAACAGGGACCAACTCCTTTTCTTTTTAGAAGGCAGCTAAGCTTTGTTTGTGCTGCTTGTGTGGAGAGTTTCAGAGTTTAACAGGTGAAGGGCCAAAAACAATAAAAACGTTGCTGGATGACAGCCCCAAGCAGGGCTCCCTCTGGAGGTGGAGAGCCTGACATTTCAGTTACTTCTGAGAGCCTGGGGCGGGGGTGGGATGCAAGATCGGAGAGGAAAAAGTTAGCTAATCCAATAAGAAGAGGCTTTCCTAAGTGACTGCCTTCAGATAGGGGACTCTGTGTCTCTCGAGTGGACACCAAAAGCCTCAGCCCTAAGTCCCAAGGCTTCTAGCCTTGACAAGTCCTCTTGTTTAAACCTCAGGAGGAAGCAGGTGAGATGCTTGTCTTCCTAGGACCATACAGAATGTTGGGCTACAGATGTTTCTTTGAAGGCTCTATGCTATAGAAGACCCTGAGGTTCTTATACTGTCCTAGGGAAGAGCATCTTGCTGTCCCCAAGGGAGATCAGGTGTTTGTTTTGTCCACCAAACACACAGGTGACAGTTACAGTGGATTGTTCAATACGCAGAATAGGAGGCAATAACAATGGACATCTAAGTGCTGTAAAGGACAACCTAACCATTGTACCCCTAAAATATACGGCCCACTTTCATCAGCTTCATGGAATATATTTATTTGACAGAATAGTCTATATATACACAAATATTATTATTTTTTAAATTTTGAGACAGGGTTTCTCTGCGTAGCCCTGGCTGTCCTGGAACTCACTCTGGAGACCAGGCTGGCTTGAGTCACAGGGATCTGCCTGCCTCTGCCTCTGCCTCCCGAGTGCTGGCATTAAAGGCTATGCCACCACTGCCTGGCCACAAGTAATTTTTAAAGGATACCACATTAACATTTAGTGTGTGTGTGTGTGTGTGTGTGTGTGTGTGTGTGTGTGTGTGTGTTGCATGCAGGTGCGCTCAGAGGCCAGTAAAGGACATCAGATAACTTGGAACTGGAGTTGTAGGCAGCTGTAAATTGCTTGACTTTTGTTTTTCTGTAGCCTCTGTCCACACACCTTACTAAGCAAAAGAAGCTATTCAGTGCACAGCACGTCCTCTTTTGTTTGGTTCATTCCTAGAGTTCTGGAGACTTCCCTGGTGGTCCTGGCTTAAGGGCATCCACTTATCACAACCAATTTCTCACCAAGCTTCTGGCAGTTAAGACTAGGTACCACTCTTTCAGAAGATCCCAGTTTAGTGACTAGAACCCAAAAGGCCAGTGAGAAAGATACCATGGAGTCCAGGAAAGAAGGCCTTCACCTGGGCCCAGTGGGGAAGTTTCTTCTGAGGACAGGGTCTGGGGGAGGACAGAGCACGCCCTTCCCTTAGGTCACAGGGCACATCGAGGAAAACTGGCTCCAGAGAGGGGGATGACACCCTGAGCCCTGTAACTCTAAGAGCTAGAGACTTGGTGACCAGTAAAGGCTAACATTTTTGTGTGTGTCATGAATGAATGAATCCTGAATTCTATCAGATTATTTTCTACATCAGTGATAAATGGACTTTCTTCTCTAGTTTATTAAGATGGTGAATTGTGCTGGCTGAACCAGCCTTCCATTCTTGGTGCAAATGTGACACTTTCATACCCTTGTTACAGACAGACTTGATTAAGGGGATGTGTCAAGCTCTGTTGGAAGCTGACAGAACAGTTTCAAAAGAAATCTCAAAAAAAAAAAAAAAGTAGGGCAGTGGTGGTTGTGCACGCCTTTATCCCAGCACTCAGGAGGCAGAGGCAAGTGGATCTCTGTGAGTTCAAGACCAGCCTGGTCTACTGAATGAGTTCTTGGACAGTCAGGACTATTTCACAGAGAAACCCTGTCTTGAAAAATAAAACAAACAAACAAACAAAAGAAATCTCCATACCTGATTCCATTTTCTCCTTTTTCTGGCTTCTGGTTAAGCCCATCTTTTACCTAAGAGAAAGAAAAAGATAATATAAAAATATTCCCGAGCCAGTGAGATAGCTCAGTGTATAAAGGCCTTGCTGTGCAAGCCCGTCTCTCTGAGGCAATCCCTGGAACCCATGGAAAGGTGGAAGGAGAGAACTCACTTCTCAGTTGTCTTCTCACCTTTATACATACACTGTGGCATGCATGCTCTGCTCTCTTATTTGCCCATCATGTACACATGCACATACACACACACATAATACTCAGACATATAGATATATATACACATAACACACACACACATAACACACAGACATACGGATGTACACACACATAACACACAGACATACAGATGTACACACACATAACACACAGACATACGGATGTACACACACATAACACACAGACATACAGATATACACACACATATAACACATAGACAGAGATATACACACATAACATACATACACATAACACACAGACATACAGAAGTACACACACATAACACACAGACATACAGATGTACACACACATAACACACAGACATACAGATATACACACACACATAACACATAGACATAGAGATATACACACATAACATACATACACATAACACACAGACATATAGATATACACACACATAACACACAGACATACAGATATATACACACATAACACACACACATAACCACAGACATACAGATATACACACACACATAACACACAGACATACAGATATATACACACACATAACACACAGACATACAGATATATACACACACATAACACACAGACATACAGATATATACACACACATAACACACAGACATACAGATATATACACACACATAACACACAGACATACAGATATATACACACACATAACACACAGACATACAGATATACACACACATAACACACAGACATACAGATATATACACACACTATACACACACATAACATACAGACATACAGATATATACACACACATAACACACAGACATACAGATATATACACACACATAACACACAGACATACAGATATATGCACACACATATACACAAACACACATACACATGCATACACACACATATACACACAAACATATCTCTTGCGGAATAACCTTTTTGTTTACTATGAAGATGTGTTTAACAACCCTGAGCACTTTAAGAAAAGGCTGAATGGCCCATAGCTAAGCAGATTTTTGAAGCAGAGAGGATGAAGGGAAGAAGTCAGGGTGGGGACAGGAGGAGACACAGGACAAGCAGGAAGTGCAAGATGAAAGTGAGGTACTGCCATGTGGCAGAATGCAGCTTAACATAAATGAGTTAATTTAAGTTATAAGAACGAGCTGAGACAAGCTTAAGCTAAAGTCTGAGCTTTTGCCAGGTGATGGTGGCGCGCTCCGTTAATCCCAGCACTTGGGAGGCAGAGGCAGGTGGATCTCTGTGAGTTTGAGGTCAGCCTGGTCTACAGAGACAGACTTCTAGGACAGCCAACGCTACACTGAGAAATCTTGTCTCAATAAACAAACAAATAAACAAACAAATAAGGGCAGAGCTTTCATAATTAGTATAAGTCTGTGTCATTATTTGGGAACTGGCTGGCAGCACAGAGAATGACTTGGTACATGTGGCATCCAACATAGAGGTTCAAATATCCAAACATAGGGCCCGTGGAAGCTAAGAAAAGTTCTGGACAAGGAGTCGGATGAGGATTCCTCATCCTGCAGGCTTTCAGGTAGGCTGGGGTATCACACAGAGATGCAGCTCCCAGACATTGCCTGTGGGCTGCATCCATATGTTGGTGCCATGCACTAAGCTGAGCCAAGCGGCAGTGACATGGCAGTTTAAGATTTGTCTCACACAGCCAGAGAATGCTGAAGGTTCTCAGTAAAGCCAGGGCCAGACATAGAATGCCTCCAAAAAGGTACAGTATGTTTTAAACTGTGCTTAGATGCTGAAGAAAGAAAAGAAAATGCATATAGTCATAGAAAAAACAGCTTAAAAATTATAAATTCTTGAAAGAGAGAGTAGTTAATATAAAAAGAATAAGCCACATAAAGGTGGGAAATACACAGGGTATCTGGATCTGTATGAAGCTTCATTGACTTTGAATTTCTTAAATGCTAGTGTATAAAAAACAATAGCTACTTGAGAGGCACTGGATTACAGAAACTGCTGCTAGATTAAACCAACCTATATATTTTAAGAATGTCTTAACTTAAAAATGGAAGTCAGAAAATATGTTGCATTGGGAGAGAGGTTATGCGTTTGTTTCTATGGGAAACAAAAAGTTAGGGTTCTCTCCAAAATTGATGAAGATCAGGTTTGATCGGGGGAGACTTCCTGAGGATCCTGGCTACAGACATGATGGACAAAGCCAAGAAAGACTACAGGACTGGTGGTGCATATGCTGACCCCTCTGCTATGGGAACAGCTCTGAGACTGGATGAGACATGATAAGCCTTGTTGGCCACCCTTTCATATGGCATGGGTAGAGGTTTGATTATACAGTCCAAAGAAACAAAGTTAGCAGGTGCCTTTCACCTGCTCAAACATAGAACAAAAAGATCATCTTTAAATGACTTGTGTACACTGAACATTCCATACTTGGGTTAAAACAGATATACATGCTACCTTTGAAAGTCTGTGTGTTTTTGGAAATATAAAAGGAGCAGACACCAATGAAGACAAGTAACCCAGGTGATCCAGCCTCTCGTCATGCCTCTGTTGCAGTTTCCCCAAAATTCTGCATCTAGAGCAACTTCAACATGGCCAGGTAAGATGGTCCAGCCTCAGACTACTCCAGCCAAGACTTCAGACAACCTCTACCCTTCCCCATCACACAGAGACTAAATAAAAGGTAATACAGATACTTCTTCCGGGACTTGATCATTATCCCAATTTTCTCAGAGTCCCCTAAAGATGCCAGCGCCCCCAGACAACAGGAGGCAGTCTAGAGAACATGATGCCCACATTCCTAAGAAGTGGGAAGGATGGGGTTTGGTGGTTCGTGGTTATGGTTACAGTGGTTTATGGATGTTTGTCATCATTTGGGGTGGTGGCTACAAGTTGCTATTGGCCATGGTTAGGAAAAAGGCTAAGCAAAGGAGACTAGATTCAGCAATCTCTTTCTGAAGGGGATAAGACAGATATAACAGAAATGATGGGATAAAACAATAGATTGTGGAGTCTACTTTTGAACAACTACTAATCTCAAATATTTTACATTGATATTGATTTTTGTATATTGATACAAATTCAAGGTTATTTGTGTTATACTGTGTACATATTTCTACTTTTGTAGAAAGGTATTGCACCCATGTAGCTCATTTAAAAATGCAATGCAAAGTTCTAGTCCTTGAAAGCTATTTAGGATAATAAAAAATACAGCTTAGCAGTTAGTCATCTATAACAACCAAACTTATAGTCATGTTAGGTATGTTTTTAAGTCAAACAGATATATTTCAATTAAATGGTCTTCAAACACTTCAAAGAGCTATAGAACATGAATTAAACAATTTAATTAAAATTTTAATAACTAGGCTTTTCATGACAGTGAGATGGAAACACAATCAGAAAAGGATGATGGGCATGAAGAACTTCCACAAGGAGTTTGCTTTCTATGTGGCAAAGGTACATTTGGTCGAGAAGCTGCCCTTGCCTTGACTGCTGACAGGCTGCTGTCCAAACCGAACAGCCAGGACACAAAAGAAGGCAACTGCCAAACTTGGTCAAGACAAGGCAGAACAGTCCTTCAAAATTCCCGCTTCACAAAAACATTTTTAGACATTCTAGGCTGTAGCCCAAAGACAGATGCTCTGACATTACAGAGGAACCTTGGGTGACTGTCCGGGCAGCCAGCTGTTTCTGTCATTTCTATAGTTTTGGAAGTTGTTTGCTTTGCACTTACTGTTTATTCAGGAAATATTTTGTGCTTCTTGGGTCTCAGATGGAGGCTGAAGGCTAGATAGTTACAGTTTTACAATTTTCCTTGTTACCAAATTCAGAAAATAAACTTACATAGGAGATATAACGTTTATAAGTTTGAGAGACATAAAAGCTTAAATTATTTACCTAAAAAACATTTTGAGGTCTAAAAAGATACTTTTAAGATGGTAATACAATTTATAATAAAATGTTTTAGGTATAAAACTTTAAATTCATCAAGATAAGATAGATAATAGAGTTTTTTTCACTGAATATGCCAAATACAAATGGACTGGACATTGTGAATATAGTTCTTACTTGATAATTGTTCTTATTGGATATAGCTTCATTTGTTAAAGTTAATACCTTTCCTTTCTATTTAGACAATACTTGATAATTGTTCTTATTGTATATAGTTTTACAATGTTATACTTAAAACCTTTCATTTTTATTTAGACAAAAAGGGTTTTGGAAAATGTTGTGGAACAATCTTTTTGTACACTGGGAAGTCGTGTCTCTCTGGTTTAATAAAAAGCTGAATGGCCAATAGCTAGGCAGATTTTCAGGGCAGAGAGTATACTGGGAAGAAGAAAGGCAGGAACATGAGGAAATGCAGAACAAGCAGGAGGTGTAAGATGATAGAGAAGTAACACCTTGGAGCAGAATACAGATTAATATAAATCTAAGTCACAAGAGCAAGCTGAAACAAACCTAAGCTAGAGGCTGAGCTTTCATAATTAGCATATGTCTCTCCATGTCATTATTTGGGAGCTGGCTAGTGGGACAGAGCAGAGACAGGGTGGGGAGAGAAAGACACACACACACACACACACACACACACACACACACACACACACACACACACACACGGAACAAAATAAAATAAATAACTTCCTGACATTTATCTCATTAGGATCAATTCACACTAACACTTCAGACTTTGAGTGAACGATACTGGTCCTTGTCCTAGGAGATAAGTGCTCCATTTCTTCATCCCTGCTCTCCCTCCAGGCTAACACACGTTATTGCTGTTATTGATCCCTGATTGTCAGTGATTCCAAAGAGTATGACTCTCCAACAATTCAGATCGTCCGACCTTCGTACATTGCAACACCGAGGTGCCAACACAAAGTTCATGTGTGAGGACCGTGCAGACGAGTTGGGAAAATTATTGCAAAATAAGAGCTCATAACGCTTTAAGGCTTCAAGGAAGTACATTTGTGCTGGGTCACGCTCAGAGCTACTCTGGGGTGTATCCTTCCTGCCACAGGCTGGACACACCTGAAAAAACAAGTCACTCAACAGCTTCCCAATTAAGCAAATGACCAATTAATTGGACTTTGATTTTTTTCATATGTTCTTACTCAGATTCCCCCGACTGACTGACTTCATTCAGTTCACCTACACCTTCCCTCTTTGTGTGCCAAATGACACGTCTGCATTTTGTCAACAGTATTTCATATGCATTGTATGCCTTGTGTTTGATACAGGTGACATATTTTTGTTAGACTGCTCTAATTAACTACATATTAAAAGATTAATACAAATAAAGTTATGTTAAGCAATTTACCTCAAAAGGCCTCTGCGAAGTATGCCATGTATCCATGTGATTCACACACATCCATTAAAGAGCACATGGGCACACACTCACCACAACACAAACAGTTTTATTTTTAGTTATTTACCTTTACATTTTTATTATTTTTGCTTTTTTGAGTCAGGGTCCTGCTCTGTCTTTCTGGCTGGCCTGGAACTCAAAGAGAGCCTCCTGTGTCTGCTTCCTGACTGCTGGGATTAGAGGTGTGCAATGCTATGCCTAGCTAAGAAGGGCCTTGCTAACAGTCCAGGCTAGCATCTGCCTCCCGAGAGCTGGAGAAATAGGTGTGGGCCACCACACCTGGCTCCTAGTTTTCTTTTAAAAGTTTTAATTAATAGCAATCGTCCTTATCCACCAGACAAACCTTCACTGGAGGTCAAATAACCTGTGTTCCTCAAGAAAGAAGAATCTGAAGATTGCCTAGCATAGTACTCTATATAGATAAAGAAATGTCACACCAAGAAACAGCTGTGCCCTGAGGCTGGAGAGGTGACTCTGCTGCTCTTGCAGAGACCTGAGTTTTGTTCCCAGCACCTACATGGTGGTTTATAATTATCCATAACTCCAGTTACAGGGGATCTGATGCCTTCTCTGACCTCCTCAGACACTGGGTACCCATGGGGTGCACATGGGTAAAACACTCAAACACAAAATAAAATCTAAACATTTTAAAAGCCATATCTCTAATATTGCATTCAGCTTATAGAAAGCTGTAAGTATCAACTACTTACCACAAAGAAATTACTGGGGCCCCATACTAGAAGGGTGTAGCGATGGCCTGTCTCAAAGTTGTAAACTACTGTAGTGACCGAAGGAGACCCAGGAGAAGATATGTTTATGCTTGTCAGCTTGTCTGCATCAAAAGTCATGAAATTGTTTGTCTGGATGGGGGAGGGGAGGCAGAGTCAGTGCTGTGCATTTGAACACTGTAATGCCACGATACATGGTATCCCATGTTCACATACATCCAAAATACTTTGTAGCGATTTAACCCTTGGCCTCCCATGCCCATGGACACTTCCCTACGGTTCTTTCTGTATTGCCACAGGGATCATATTGTTCACCAAACACTTTAATTTTTTTTTGTCTAGGGAAACACATTCTGTAAAATCAGCTATAGTACTTTGTAAAGAGCAGTACAGGGACTGGAGCTGGAGAGATGGCTTAACAGATAAGTGGCTGCTCTTCCAGAGGATCTAGGTTTGATTCCCAGCGTTCATACGGTGGATTGCAACCACCTATAATTCCATTTCCAAGGAATTTGACACCCTCTTCTGGCCTGTGAGGGCACCAGGCACACACATGGAAAACAGGCACATAATGTAGGCAAGACACCTATACACATTAAAAAAACAACCCCCCCCCAAAAAAAACCTCCAGAGGGAAAGCAACCGTTCTGGTGAAAATCAATATGGGGCACCCTGGCAACCAGGAGCCAAACTCCTGACACCTTCTTCAAGGCCTAAGTTCACTGCTCTGCCGGTGGTGAACCAGGAATGAGAATAGATGAACCCACCACAGTGGGGTCCGGACCTCAAGGTTCTCCAAGTGACCAGACTCAAGGCTGGGAACCAGCATTCAGGGACAGTGATCTCCAGAGTAGGGTTTCTGACATCAGCACTGCATTTACCAGGGCCGATAATACTTCCCTGTGGAGGCTGAGTGCCCTCACCTCTGGCTTCCATTGATGAAATGCCAGTGGCACACTCTTAGTTTCTAACAACCGAGAATCATCTGTAGAGACTGTTCAACATCTCCAGGGACACCATGGGACCTTCCCTGCTGTTGGAAGTGCAGTTTCCTTTGGCAGCAGCACATGGACCTATAGAGACGCAGTATTTCTGCTCTACAGATCCAGTCTGCACTCTCCAGGGCACTAGAGCGATGAGTAACCCACATTCAAGTCAGAGGCCCACTGGTCCAGAGAGTCACCACCTGTCAGTCTTAGCCTGGCTTTGGGATTCATACAAGGACCCATAAGAATGGCTCCTGTGAGTTGTGGTGTAAGTCAGGTGAGAAGGTGAGACAGGAGGCCGTGTTAGTTGTGGTGTAAGTCAGGTGAGAAGCTGAGACAGGAGGCCGTGTTGCCGTGTTAGTTGTGGTGTAAAAGTCAGGTGAGAAGGTGAGACAGGAGGCCGTGTTAGTTGTGGTGTAAAAGTCAGGTGAGAAGGTGAGACAGGAGGCCGTGTTAGTTGTGGTGTAAAAGTCAGGTGAGAAGGTGAGACAGGAGGCCGTGTTAGTTGTGGTGTAAGTCAGGTGAGAAGATGAGACAGGAGGCCGTGTTAGTTGTGGTGTAAGTCAGGTGAGAAGGTGAGACAGGAGGCCGTGTTAGTTGTGGTGTAAGTCACTGAGACAGGAGGCCGTGTTAGTTGTGGTGTAAGTCAGGTGAGAAGATGAGACAGGAGGCCGTGTTAGTTGTGGTGAAAGTCAGGTGAGAAGGTGAGACGGGAGGCCGTGTTAGTTGTGGTGTAAGTCACTGAGACAGGAGGCGGTGCTCCCTCTCGCTTACCTGAGACATTTGATCAAGTGTCACACTTGATCCAGGAAAATACACAGTCATATTATTGTCCCCTATATTCAAGGCCTTAATTTGAACTTCATTTCCTCCAGGGAAGACTGGAAGGGTTTTCTGGAAAAAGAAAAGGAAATCAACAGTGAGGACTTCTACGTGTGGTCACGGTCACCCTGGCTCTGGAGACACTTCCCTCTACAGTCTATAGCTTCCTCCAGGGAGACATGACAAACACCTGGATAAGCCTACTGGTCTACCGGTTACGTTCGGCATGGCAACGAAACATGATTTAGCCTTCAAAACAAAGGTGATCTTTTCTTCCTTTCTTTCTTTCCTTCTTCCTTCCTTTCTTTCTTTCTTTCTTTCTTTCTTTCTTTCTTTCTTTGATTTTTCGAGACAGGGTTTCTCTGTGTAGCTTTGGAGCCTATCCTGGCACTCGCTCTGGAGACCAGGCTGGCCTCGAACTCACAGAGATCCCCCTGCCTCTGCCTCTCGAGTGCTGGGATTAAAGGCATGTGCCACCAATGCCCGGCCAAAGGTGATCTTTTCATATCCTCTGAAAAGGGTGAACCTTGAGGGCATTATACAAGAAGCCAACCACAAAAGGAAAAATGCTCCATGGTTATGATCATGTGATGCTTGGCACAGAATCAAGAGACAGATTTTAGAACAGCGCCTGCCTTGGAGAGACAAATAAGGAAGTTAGCTCTGAATGTCACAGAGGTTTCATTTGGGAAGGTGGATGATTTCTGGAAGTATGTGTGGTGTGGGCTCCACAGTAAATGGAACTGTGCTGAGCTGCATGCTCAGAAATGGTTAAGATGGGAAAATGTGCTGGGCGTTGGTGGTGCACACCTTTAATCCCAGCACTTGGGAGGCAGAAGCAGGCAGATCTCTGTGAGTTCGAGGCCAGCCTGGTCTCCAGAGCGAGTGCCAGAGCCAAGACACACGGGGGTGGGCCTAGGCCCTATCCCAAAGGAAACGAAAGACTCTGATGACACCCTATGGAAGGCCTCACCATCGAGGGGGAGCAGAAAATATATGTGACAGATAAGGTTTTAGTTGGGGGGTAGGGCAGGATGGGTGAAAGAAGGGAACTGGGATTGTCATGTAAAATAATCCTGTTTCTAATTCAAATAAAAAAAGTTGGAAAAAATAGAAAAAAATGAGATGAGTAAAACAAATTAATTTTCAGCCAACTTCACAAACTATTAAAGCTCAAAATTTTGCCATTATTCTCCTCTGTGTGTGTGTGTGTGTGTGTGTGTGTGACAGACAGACAGACAGACAGAGTCTCCTCTTCTAGTTTTATGGATCATGTAGTCCTTGCCTCTAGAACTAAAGTCTTATCTCCACTAGGGAGCATTGGGCTGGGTTAGAAAAAGTGCACCCAGCAGATATTAGATCTGTTTAGGGGTTAGCCCTTAGTAGATATATTAAAACCCAAAATGTGCTTTTCCATGAAGAGGACAGTGTACATATTTCTGACGTGCCTGTCTGTGAATGGTAAGCCTCTTCTCACCAAAGAGTTCAAAACAATTCATGAACTCATCCCCTATTACGGAAACTGTATCATAGGCAGAAGCTGCTCATGCCATCTTTCCAACTAATGAAACCTGCCCCTCAGCTCCAAGACCTCCTGTGTCCTGCCATGACGGAACCCGGTGTGCCACCCCAGCTTCCCACTGCCCTTCACTGCAGGGATTCCAACTGTGTGTGTGGAGAGCCCCCTGGTCTCCTCTAACCCTCCCAGCCCCAGAGAAAGCAAACTCACATCAATTTCCACCTGCACAATGGCAGCTGCCACGAAGGCCATGGAAGCCAGGAACATCCCAACGGTCATCTTCTTTAGGGACCTGACAGGGACAGGAGGAAAGCAAATATCAGCCTGTCTCACCAAGAGAGAGCCCCAAAGGAAACCCTCAGCATCTCCCATCCCAGCTGCTTCCCTGCAGAGACAGCTGTCCTGGAGGCCACTTCTGGGGCTGTCACTGTTTTAGGGCTTTAATTTTATTTACACGCGTGCATACGTGTATGTGAGTGTATGTAGTATGGGCGTGAGGGCCAGAAGATGATGTCAGATCCCCTGGAGCAGCAGCCACAGGGATTTGTGAGCTGCTTCATGTGGGTACTCTAGTGTGTGTGCTTGAGAAGCAAGCTTCTTAGCTGCTGAGCCATCTCCGAGTCCCTTTCTGCTGTTATTCATGGCTGGAACTATCAAGGGCAAGTACAACCCTTATTTGTGTTATCGAATTTAATTTCTAGAAATCCTATGGCCACAGTTGATATTTCTGTCAGGTATATACGCATGAGAGCCTTGACTGCCAGCTTTCTTCAGGCTTTCATTAAGAGCATTTTTATTCATAGTTAAGAGGATTTTTCAAAAACACTGCATAGGAACATCTCCTTTAAAGCTGTGTACGAATGTGTGTGTGTCGTATGCAAATGAGTATGGGTATGTACAAGCCCATGTGTGCACACGAGGCAGCCATAGGATGTCAGGTATCTCCTAACCCTGCCCATCTTATTTCAATGAGGCAGGACATCTCGGTGAGATCAGTAGCTCATCATGTTTGGCTAAGCTGGCTACCCTATGAGCGCCAGGGATCTGCCTGTCTCAGCCTAAGTTATGGGTGCACATGGCCATGCCTGGCTTTTTACACAGGTCCTAGGGGTCCGAACCAAGATCTCCAGGCTTGCACAGCAAGCGCTGTTACCCAGTGAGATATCCCCCATGGCCCCCAAAATCGCTTAACTTGATTTCTTTAAAGCCTTCACCACGAGCCAGACCTTGTAGCACAGCCTATAATCTCACTCCCTTGGGTGGCTTGCAGGTTCAGAGCCTACACGGGCTGCAGAGTGAGTTTCAGGCTAGCCTTGTCTCAAAATAGAAAGGAAAAGAGAAGCTTGGGGTTCTACATCAGTTTAAGAACATTTGTCTAGCATGTGTGAAATTCCCTCCATTCAATCCCCAGTACTGCAAACATAAAATAAATAAACGTCCACCCTCTCGGTCAGTGGTTCTCAACCTTCTAACACCGCCACCCTTTAATACCAATCCTCATATGGTGGTAACCCCCAACCAGAAAATTATTTTCCTTGCTACCTCGTAACTGTAATATTGCCACTGTTATGGATCATACTAAGAATTGCTGTGTTTTTTGATGGCCTCAGGTGACCCCTGTGAGAGGGTTGTTTGGCTCCCACCCCAAAGAGGTCACGGCCCACAGGTTGAAAAATGCTGGCCTAGGTGGATGCTTCTGGAAGCACAACATTTGGGGAACCCTGATCCAAATCAAGCAGCTACCTACGTGAAATTGAGGCCGCATTTTGCAATGAGAGGGTACACCACAGCATCCATAATGGGGACCATGATGACGATCAAGATGGCATTCACGGTCTGCAGAGGAAGTGGAGAGGGCTGTCAGTGCTGTTGCAGTGAAGCACTTGGGCCTTGGGAAATGACCCTGGTGTTTTCTCCTACCTGCATCTGGTCTGGCTGAATTTCAATAGCTCCCTAAAAAAGAGGAGGCAAAAATTACTGGAAAAAAAATGCCACGAAAGGAAAGGAGAAAGGGCGCTAAGGGACTAAGCGAAGAAGTGGTGGCCAGAGCAGAAGAACCAGCAGGAAAGGCAAACTTACAATCTTCCCACTCATGGTTGTTGCTTGCAGTGTCCATCTGGAGCCCTGAGAAATGAGCACATTGATTGCGTGTGTCATGGGGGCCTGTGGCTTTTTAGAATGTGATGACTCCCCACTGAACCCTCTAAAGCAGGAGCGAAATGCTAATGGGATTTGAGGCTGCCATAAGCACCCAGTTGGCCTCTCAGCTCCGTCACAATACTATGAAGACAGAGACCGGTTGTATGCCGACAACCCTAACTCCACCCCGGGTTGCATGAAGGACCTGAGACAGAGGGTATCATCGAAAGCACAAGGCTGTGCGAATACATGGTACCACCTCTCAGGGTGAGCTCTTCAAGGCACTGGGTTCTAGGTATTCTGGTGTCAATATCTAGAACATCACAATTGCAAAGAACCGTCTTTTGCAAGCTAGGGAGGGGGTTTAAATGCTTCTCAACAAAGGCAGCGGTGGCCTTAAAATCTGGGCAGCCTAATTGCAGTTCATCTGCTTCTTATAGGATGTGATGATGAATATAATGCATCAATGGATCAACTCAATGGATCAACATGAATCCATCAACTCCATGGTGAAGACAACACGGAAAGCAGCAGAGCTTGCATGTTTGAGATCTTACTATGTACCAGTTACTGAGGACCTCGTATACAGGTCTAGTTGGGGCCTCACAGTGTAGGTGGGTGGTCAGGACAAACGTGTTCAGAAGAGTTCTGAGTCCTGAGCCTAAGTCACCCAGCTGTCAGTGACGCCTGTATTTCTCACGCAAGTCTGAACCCAGTTAGACTCCCACCACCACTGTGCAAAGTGGTTCCTTTGTGCCACCGGGATGCTCTGTACTTCGCACTGCGGACAACGAGATGTGTCATGGTCACATGGTCTCCAGGGGTCACCCTGCCTTCCACCAGTCCTGTCTGTACAGTGACACATAGCTGTTCAGTCTCTTCTCCTTGTGTGACTAGTAAGTACCGTGCACTGGGTTTTCTGACACGATTGTGTAGTCCCCAGTGTGCGTCCTACACATGGCCTCACACCCAATCTTGTGCACATGAAAACGTTATCTGGGCCCGGGTTATCATCACAACAATAGAGGAAGACATGAAGTTGAGAGGGACTGGGGTGGCGGCAGCTGGAAGGAGGTAATGGTGTATGGATATGATCAAAACACACTGTGTAAGTGTACGGCTGTTCTTAAAAAAGAAAGAACAAAGCCACAAGTCTGTTACGGCTCACTATTCTATTTTTAAGTGGGAGATTTGCAACAAGCCCCTTTATGTACAACATTCTACGCATCTCTTCAGAGGCAAACCTTCCTACCATACTGGGTCAGTAGAACAAACACTGCCCTCAGTTCCGACTGGCAAGGGTCCCAGATGCTCTGAGGAAATCTCCCCGGGGTTACTCTGTGTAAACGAACCTCGTTTTCTTCATTGATTCACAACAGACACGTGGATGGAACCTTTTAGGATATGTTTTAACCAACAAATGCAATATGATGCAACAATTAAATCAGCATAATAAGAGAAACTGGAAGGGAATGTTTTTAGGAGTTGAACATCCAGGGTGACTAGCAGTACTTACTACCTACTGGTGAAACGAGAGACGTTACCTGCTGGTCAAACAAGGCCCAGAACATGGGGAGTGGGATGTACAGGAACATCACCTTCATGACCATCTTAATTTGTGAGATTAGCCGCTCCTGCGGGAAGACAAATCAGCCAGGGCTGGAGTCAACAGCAGTTGCTGCTCTGTCGCAAAGTCGGGATATTTGCATCTGGGGGTGGGGGTTATTCAGTCTAAACATGTTCACAGGTGTCTTTAGGAAACCAGGACGTTCTGAGCAAGTGAGGACGCTCAGGAGAGCAGCTGTTTGGCAGGAGGACAGCCGCCAGAGCTTACTGCATGCCCATCTCAAGGTTACCACCACCCCAGCTCCTCTGATGAAAGCAATGGAAGATGACTCATGTGGACCGCTGTGACAGGCTCACACTGCTCCCTGATCAATGATAACCATTGTTTTAAAGTCTTTTCAAAGCAGCCGTGTGTAGTGGTATTCCACATGCTATTAAGTGTTAGGCAGACACGGCTGAGGGTGTTGTCCATGTAGCTAACACTCTGCATTCTGCTTTCTTTCCATGCCCGCTTCCTGGAGTAGCCAGGGACACTGTGACCGGAACAGTGACTTACGTCGTATTTCTCTTTAGCCCAGTCCAGCCAGTGTTCCCTCTTGGGGAATGCCTTACTTCGATGCCTGAATCTGTTTTTGATGGCAAACTGAAAGGAAGAAAGAAAAACTAGATTTTAAAAGAGAATCAACTATAGCAGAAAAAATACATTTCAATGAATTCCCTTTTAATGGACAAGCATGAGAGAGAAAAAAACACATTTTTAACTAGCAGATACTAGCTGGCATGGCCCATTTGCTGAATGTACAACAGGGTCCATTTGTCTACAGCCTTTCTAATCCAGATGCCTGTGTTGGGGTCCCATTGTCAGAGTTTCACCCCTTTGCCCGTCTAGAAAAGCATGTTCAATAGAAATGCAACAATACATTTGTGTTTAAATTTTCCAATAGCCAATTAACAAGTAAAAACAAAATATGTAAAAGTGCCCCCCCACCCCTACCCCAGGGTTTCTCTGTTGTAGTTCTGGCTGTCCTGGAACTCGCTCTGTAGATCAGGCTAGCTTTGAATTTAAACATATGCCTGCCTCTGCCTCCTTCATGATCCTTCATGTCTGCTGGGATTAAAGGTGCGTGCCACCATCACCTGCCTCTATTTGGGTAGGTTGTTTAGAGAAAACAACAACAAAAAACTCACCCCCCAAAAAATCACCCAAAGGGGGGAAATCAAAACTCTGTTGAATTTTTCTTCCTTTTTTAAAAATTGAACTTTGATTTAAAGGAGGAGGAAGGCAGATGGGGAGTTCTGGAGGGATTTAACGAGAGGGAGGAGGGGAGGAAGGGAGCACTTACACCAATGCACTTGGCCACTTTGCTCATGACGTTGCCTTGGGGCTGGAACTTCTTGTACATTCCACTGCCAAGGACAAACACAACTGCACAGGGCAGAAGAGGAGGGGTCACTGCGGTGTTCGACAGAGCTCCCTGTGCTCTGAAAGGTGCTCATCTACCTGCATCGTCCCCTTGTCTGGAAGTATGGGATTGCGTATAGCATTGTTTCCCTGCCTCACAGGTGAGGAACTGCTTCTGATTCTAGAAGCCACAAGGGCCTCTGGGATCGGGATGCTTATGCTGCAATACACGAACGCCGAATCCTAACACCGTCTATCAATGCCCCCAAAGGAGATCAAGGGCACAGGAGCTTTCGCATGCCATAGGAATACATTACTTTACAAAGACAATAAATACAGTGCTAATATTCTTGGCTTTGACAGCAAGATTTATTTTCTTCTTGCCCTTAATATTCAGGAGAGAGGGATTAATCTGTTGAAAGGTTTACTTAATCATCAATGGTGGAATCCCCACCCCACCCCCAGTTATCGTACAGAAGTACGGCTATAAATTCATTGTCTCTGCAGTGGCTTTGATAAACATGAGAGAACCTTTTCAATGAGGCTATTATTCTTTTGTGGATTTTATTAACAGTAGGCATCTTGTGAAAATGACCCTCAAAGACAGCACTTCTGCAGGAGACCCTACATTAGGTTTCCAGATCACCCCATGGCATTATTGGATAACTTAAGAGCATCAACGTGCTTCTCCTGGTGAAGGCCCCAGGTGTTGACAGCTACTTGCCCTCAGGGTCTTGTTTGTAACTGTTCTATGGATGCCATTCATGGCCAACTGTCCGACCCTGACTCATGCTCATGCCCAATGCCCTGACAAACACGGGTGGTGAAGGGTCCCAGCAGGCTGAGTCAGCATTTCCCTTTGCTGACTGCTATTGTAACCTGATTTTTAATAAACTGAAGCCTAACTCAAGCACAGAAATTTCTAGAAAAGCTGTGGTCTTAATTCCTTCATAGGAAGATACAGAATCTTTTAAAGAATGACTTATACAGATTAATTGAGGTTTTACCTGAAGTGCCTTTTTCAATTCAGAATTGGGAAAAGCATACATTAGCCCTTTAGAAGACTGTGGCCATCTTTGAAGAATTATGGGAGAGAAGAGATGTTAAAAAGGGGGCAAGGGCAGCGCTTATGTAATGGTAAAAACAAAGCAAAATTGTTTCAATATGAGAAAAAGAGGTGAAAAAGTGGTTCTATTTGGTACTGGTAAGACCTGAAGACAAGCCCCGGAGAAAGAGTGAGGAAGCCATGGAGGCTTGAGGAGACCATTGGCCAGGTCTTTCTCATGCCAACTTTCTACTCAGAACACCCCAGCTTTGTATTTCTTAAGAAAAAAGAACTACTCAAAACTAATGCACATGTGTGCAATCTAGATTCTGTCCATCCATCCATCCATCCATCCATCCATCCATCTGTCCATCCACCCATCTGTCCATCCACCCATGTATCATCTGTCTATCTATCTATCTATCTATCTATCTATCTATCTATCCATCCATTCATCTATCATCCATCTCCTGAAAGCAGAGGGGGCTGTTTCTGGGGAGGAAGGGGAGCAGCAAGAAGAACGAGAAAGGACTGGGACAGGTAATGAGGAAGTGAACATGAAAAAGACACAATGGTAACTATACATGAGAATGTCATAATGAAACTTCTGCATTCCAGCTAAAAGTAATCTAATGAGAAATAACAGCTGCTGGCATAAAAACACACGTGCAAATAAATATAACCACTATGTACATACCATCCTTTAGCAGGAAAGGGTCCTGTAGAAACCCTTGGGGTGATGTAATAATGGGGACTTAGATCCTAGCAGAAGTATTCAGTGGCCAGTGAACCAGATTTCTTTACTCAAGCTGCAGCTGACACATATTGGCGACAGTAGAAGCCTTCAATCCTGGGCTGGCTAAGCTAGCTGACTCCATCACCTCTGCTCCAATGCTTACATAGACCCAAATCTAGTGTCCAAGTCATCGGGGGCCCCTCTTCCCACACCCTTTAAGATCCTGTTTCCTCATATAATACAGCCACCCCACTTTCTCCTTCTCCTAAATGCAGGTCCTCATGATAGTTTTTGTTTTGTAACTTGGCACATGGGCTTAAAAAACTTAGCCATGATAATATGAAGCCTGACATGGGCCTGGCCTTGTGTCAGGTCAACAGACTTCTACTTACTTAGGGAGACAGCCATGAGAGCTGCTGGAACCCCAAAGGCCAGTGGGTAACAAGCTTGCTGACTGTGGATTCCACATTGTTGAACTGCGGAGAAATAATGATTAAAATGCATCAAGTTTTTTTAATGCATATATTGCTCCCATTTCTTAAAAACCCTCCCTGATTAAACCACATTGCTTTTGCTTAATGTTCTGGACTTCGCTGTTTGCTTTAATGTTGCCATTGCCACAACTATCTCCACAGCTTGTTCTGTGGGTTTTCTTTTCAAATTTTTATATTCATTTATTCTGTCTGTCTGTCTGTCTGTCTGTCTGTCTCTGTGTGAGATGGAGTGCATCTAGAGGTCAAAGGGCAGCTTGCAGGTTTCCATTCTCTCCTTCCACCATGTGGGTCTAGGAATCAAACTCAGGTTGCCGGGACTCACAGTCAGCACCTTAACCTGCTTCCCTCCCTCACTGGTCCCTTGTCTTGAGTTTTCTAACTAGTGGATATAACTGTGACCTGGACACTCTAACTCGAATATGTGGGACTCAGTGAATTAATACCACCAATTCGATATTGCAAGTGTCCTGTCAGTGTGGTGGCTATGTGTCAGGTGAGCTGGCAAAGGTCAGACAATAGCTATTTCAGGCTTTAGGGTCCATTTGGCTTTGGTCATAACTCAACTCTGCCTTCATAGGGGAAGCAATCAGATTTAAATGATGGCTATATCCGGGTTCCGGGATGTGACCCATAGTTTGCCACCTCTGACTGAGGGCAGAGATCAGAGATCCTCAGTTTGGTAAGCAAAAGCATTAAGGCTTTGTGAAGGCAACAGGGGACCCACACATCTCTTTCAGAGAGATGTTGGTGCCTCCTGGAAGGCCTGGATCTCCCAGTAATTTTGCTCTTGCCCTAAACTAGGGGTTTCAGAATCCCATAAATCCCGTAGAGAAAAGAGCTAACTAGTGGTTGGCTAAATGTCCCTGCTCATGACTGCACACGTGGTTCCCATTCATGACAAAGCTGAAGTCCCTGTTCCTCAAGCACTGTCAATCAAATACTCGTTTGAGGGGTTGTGGCTCCCCAGTTCTTCACTAATGAAGTGATAGGAACCCTTCACATATTCACTTTATTATGTGTGTGCAGACATAATTTTACTTTAAGAAATCACTCCCTTGACACAGTCTATAGTTCAAACATGCATTGCACATTCTTCCAAAGAACCTGGAGGTGGGAGACGAGGTGAGGAAACACAATAAAAGAATAAAAACCAAATTAGGGGGGGCTTAGTTTTCTGTCATCTTCAAACTATGACCCTAATTTCACAATTTAATCAAATTCAATCAAAGACACTGTGGCTTTGTTAGTTTGTCCATTCTGCTTTGAGACTTCACCAACTCTCAGTGGATTGTAGAGAGCTATTGATATTCGCCTCTGGTATTTCTCTTGGGTATTTTGGGGGTATTTCTTTTTATACACCCTTGGTTCTGTGAGGCAGGGTTTCACTGTACACCCTAGGTTAGCCTTGAACTCACAGCCTCCTGCTTCTACTTTCCAATTGCTTGGATTATAAGCATATGCCACGCCTCTCACACTTCTGGGAAGTTCTTTTAGAAACCAAAGGACAAAACTTGTCCACTAAGTTCTTCCCAACTCACTGAAACACCACAGGGAAACAAAGAGCAAAGGGCCAAAAGTCAACTATAGCCTCCTATCTGTCTTCCCAAACATAGCTTTGGATGGTATCTTTGCCCATGAAAAACGTCAAATGTTAGAGAGAGAATCACCATGTGAGAAGGATGACTTGGCATCTCCAGTGGTCGTAGAATAAATAGGGGAGTCAAGAGAGATTGGAGGGAGGTAAAATGTGCAAGGGAGTTCACAGTTTAGATTTTGACAAATATCCCAACACTTGTGGCAGCTTGGTCATTAGAGGAAAAGGGGACAAAACAAAACCAACAAGACAAGGACTTAGCCTTTGTTTTGAGACAGGGTCTTACTGAGCAGCTCTGGCTGGGCCAGAACTCTCTGTACAGACGGGATTAGCCTTCAACTCACAGGGCTCCCCCTGCTTCTGCCTCCCCAGTGCTGTGGTTAAAGGTGTGTGCCACCGCACCTGGAAGACTTGGCCTCTTTACCTGACTTTCTCATAATTAAAAAGAGGAAACCCAAGTTCCTTCTCGATGGTTCTTACCCCTAAGTATGGGAGTGATAATCGTGGAGAGCAGGCTTCCAGCATTGATGGCCAAGTAAAAGATGGAAAAGAACTGGTTTCTCTGTTTTTCCTGCCGTGGAATGGACAAAGTTAGAGTCTGACAATTGGCTGGGAACCCTGGGAGATGGTGGAGCTCAGAGCTGAACTCACTTCTGACTTAGTTTGGTTAGTATCTTACTTTATCCTGGAGAAGAATGGGACAGAGACGGGACTCCTTCCCGAGATTTGATCACTAGAGGGCTGTCAGTCAACCACGGGGCCCCTGTAGAGCTGGAGTTCTTACCTGGCCCTCTTCAAACTGATCACCACCAAATGCAGACACACAGGGCTTGATTCCTCCCGTTCCAAAGGCTATCAGGACCAGGCCGATCATGGACAGTGCTCTGCGGGAGGGAAGGAGTGGTGTAAGGGGAGGTGGCGGGTCCTCAGCGGCAGGAGCCTCCCCCACAGTCTCCCTGCAAGGACCAGGCGCAGCAGCAATCATCGCACAGAGGTGCAGCAGCAATCATCGCACAGAGGAGCTGCAGCAGCCACATAGAGGAGCTGCAGCGGTCGCATAGAGGAGCAGCAGCAGTCGCATAGAGGAGCAGCAGCGGTCGCGTAGAGGAGCAGCAGCGGTCGCGTAGAGGAGCAGCAGCGGTCGCGTAGAGAAGCAGCAGTCGCATAGAGGAGCAGCAGCAGTTGCATAGAGGAGCAGCAGCAGTTGCATAGAGGAGCTGCAGCAGTCGCATAGAGGAGCTGCAGCAGTCGCATAGAGAAGCAGCAGCGGTCGCATAGAGGAGCTGCAGCGGCGCCACATAGAGGAGCTGCAGCGGTCGCATAGAGGAGCAGCAGCGGTCGCATAGAGGAGCAGCAGCAGTCGCATAGAGGAGCTGCAGCGGTCGCGTAGAGGAGCAGCAGCGGTCGGGTAGAGGAGCAGCAGCGGTCGGGTAGAGGAGCTGCAGCGGTCGCGTAGAGGAGCAGCAGCGGTCGGGTAGAGGAGCTGCAGCGGTCTCATAGAGGAGCTGCAGCGGTCGCGTAGAGGAGCAGCAGCGGTCGGGTAGAGGAGCTGCAGCGGTCTCATAGAGGAGCTGCAGCGGTCGCGTAGAGGAGCTGCAGCGGTCGCGTAGAGGAGCAGCAGCGGTCGGGTAGAGGAGCTGCAGCGGTCGCATAGAGGAGCTGCAGCGGTCGC